AGGTCTTGAAAATCAATACTGGGCATACTTTGGAACATGAATCCTGTTTCCATGTTTATTATAATGTCTAGTCCTATCTAACCGTGTGTGTACACGCACTTCGTGTTTCGCGGGTGTCTTCTTTGAAATGCTCAAATGACACTTGTGCTGTTCCTTTCTTTGTATCTTCTTTGTTTGATAACTTCATTTTAGTGGGTTTTATCCTCACATAAAAATTGTTCCTTTTTGTTTTCAAAAGCTCATAGGTTCACCTGATGATGCCAGTCTCGGTTTTCTTAGAAGTGATAATGCCCGAAGATATGTTAGGCAGCTTCCGCAGTATCCAAGGCAACCCTTTTCTGCTAGATTTCCTAACACTGACCCTGGAGTGTTGGATTTACTTGAGAAAATGCTCGTCTTTGACCCATGCAAGCGCATTACTGGTACGGTTCGATTTCAGCTAACTTCTGAGTGATATGACTTCAAAATTGATTCATAGTATGGTGAACAAGTCCAAAGAAGTTATTGAACATATTTGGCTACACTTGAAAAGATTAAAAGTTACTTTTTCTTTGACAAATATGATTTTGAAAGTTAACTTTCTTCTCTTTTACTAAGAACAGTTACTTTTCTAGAGTTTTGTTTATTTCTTGGGCTTCATTGACGTTCAATTGTTTTTTCAATCACATGCAGTCGACGAGGCTCTCTGCCACCCATACTTGGCTCCTCTTCATAATATCAACGAAGAACCCGTTTGCCCTATGCCTTTCGTTTTTGATTTCGAGCATCCATCGTTCACTGAAGAGAATATCAAGGAACTCATCTGGAGGGAATCTGTAAAATTCAACCCGGACCCGACTCATTGAGAAGTGAGCTTAGCTTATGTAGCTAGCAAGACTATCATCTGAAGAAAATATGTACTGAATAACACTCGTCTACAAAAGTAGAATGTGAAATAATTGTTGTGAAGTTATCTGCGATTTTAGAGTTTTGTTTCTTCTATTTTCTCTGTAATCCAAATTTATTGGACGAGTAGTAGACTGATGTATTAAAATGTGTAGTTAACGTTGTATTGTGATTACCATGCTCTTGAAAGTTTCTCTTGTATTAATAAGTATTAAGCTGTGATGATAATGGCTTTGGCCGCAACTGTCTTCAAAAACTCGATGGTTCACACGATTTTGCCGTCGGTTTTTTTAAGCTAACGAGGACTTTGGATGAGATGCCAGAGAAGGTAACGCTTCCCAAAATAGAGAATTTTGCTTTTGATATTTCTGGTTTGTTGAAAATGCTAATGTGTTCTATTATGTCCAGCGCACTATACTAATGAAGCTACTATACTATGCTAATGTCACGGTATGACCTTCACTTAAGTTAGTCAGCTTCATTCTTCATTTACACTGAATACTTAAAAATCTGATTTTCATATGTTCACAAAACAAATCTAATTCTCATGATATAAAGCAGTTCAAATAATTAAATATAAGAACATAGCCTCTTTTACTTTTGACTTGTGCAGTTTTGCGTCATTTGAAAGTATTAACCACATCCTTTTGAAATCCATCTCTTTAGAAATGTGGCATGCATAAATTTTAGCCTGCTGCTATAGAAAAATGCTTGGCTTTGTTTAGTGATAGTGGCGGATACAAAAATTCAAGTGAGCTAGGATGGATCAAAGCGTGCACCCATTCAATATATGGAAAAAAATTCTTATAGAGCCAACGCGGGTGGCTATCATCGTTCGCCTGGTGTGGGATCTACCCCTTAATGAATGTTTATTCTCTCATGTCAAGGGATTGTAATAATTGTTGTCATGATAAGTGCAATGTGGCTTTCTTTTTTCGGTTTTGAAACTTTTGAATAAGAATAAATGCGTGTAATGTTGCTTGTGACATTGATATGATTATGTTGTGAAATCTAGTATATTACATAGAAAACAAGTTTGATGGTAATATAAAATGTTACGCTTGATTTTGAAAATAGACATTATGGTTACATTTGATTTTGAAATGTGACGTAACATGATGTGTAATGGAACGCGTAAAATGTAATATGTGACTTGATATGAGTACATAGTATAATATAATACATTTCATTGAAAACCAATTTGATGCATTATACAATATGTTCCTATTTAGTTTTAAGATATACGTTATCGTTACAATTGATTTTGTGGATTTTTAAGTACGAAAACTCTTAGTGGCTGAGCAGGATATGCCATCTCAAATGTTACCTTCTGTAATGGAAGAACTTTAAAGAAATGTATTGATGGCAGAAGCAATTGTTGGGCAGAAGGATAAGGAAAATGCTGCTTTAAGATTGCAAATAAGATAATTTGAGACATGGTGTTCTGAATATGAAGCTAAGATGAATTTACGAGCATATTTAATAAAATTCACTAACGGGGCCGGCCAATGAGAATTGAGCATTAAATCTACACAAAAATAATTGAGTGACCAAAACAGAGCATACCCATAAATTGAGTGCCTAATTGCTAAAAAAATAATCTCAAAGTGACCAAAACAGAGTATAAGGTTCATGCCTTTTCAAAAGAACAACTTCTAGTGCTTAAAAGAAATGGAAAAAATTAGTCGCTGTAAGGTGGACACCTGGGTATCAAAAAAAAAAAGAAGAAGAAGAAATGGAAAAAATTAGTGCAGGTTTGTTACATTGATGAACAGACTAATTTTGATTTCATTTTCTTCTTCAATCCAACATACCAAACTTGGGAAAATCAACAATTTGAAACACAACTAAACTAGATGTATATCATCAATTTTGAAACACAACTGGCAAACAGAAAATGTATATAAAATAAATGGTTTTCAGAAATCTCTATTCTACATTCTTTGTTCACAGAATAGCATGAAAGTAGTTTACAACAGGAATACCTCTCGGCTGTCGCAAACTACAGCAGCAAGCACAATCAGTCCATACATGCTTCTTCTAACCAAACACTAGAACCTCCTTGAAAATTTTATTTCAGTAGAAAGTTACTCGGCTAATAATGATGTAACATTCAATTACCTCCCCAAGATCAAAAGATTAGTGATGATGTTTCATTCCTTTGCAGCCTCATCCTCTGGTGGGGCAGCATTTCCATCTATGAAGAGAGAGAAAAAAAATAGGGTTAAATCTTTCAAAAAATTATGATAATAAGTTATACAATGCTTGGCATTTGCAAGAAAAAATTAAGGGCTTCAAGTTAATGTGTTTTGCCCTGTAGTGAATATTTTTTAAGCATAACTTTCTCGATCCGAAGTCAAACTGCAGAAACAAGGCAAGAACAGTTCTAGGAGCATGTTCGGCTAATCTAAAAAGCTTAATTGTAAGTAAATAAGAATCTTAAAAAGTTCAATAGTAAGTAAACAAGTAAGTTTAAAAATACAGTGTCTTCATTGAAGAAAGCTGGAAATAAGTCATGTATTTTGACACTGAGATAAGGAGAAGAATGTAACTTCTTGTTTTTACTTTTTTTGCTTATCCAAACAAGCAAGCATCTACATATGGTAGGTATGAAAAATTTAATAAAGAATCACTTATACCTTCACCTTCTGCAGGAGCACAAGGAGATTTGCGGTATCGTGTTTGCTGCTGCGTCGGCTAGAATATCAAATGCAAAATGACAAACACTCACATTTATTAGAGGCAAAGAAAATATGTACATATATGAACTTGTGCAAGGCCAATACCAAATAAAATCTAAAAGTTAGATGAAAAGAGTTGAGTACCAATTACTACAACATAATGTATTAGAAATTTATTCTTTGAATGAATCATAGTCATTCATTTAATCAAAGCTAGACAGAAGCATATCATTTTCGTTTTTATCTTTTCTGGAGCTAGAAAAAGAGGATTTTAACACATACAAAAGGGTCCTTCTGACAGAGAAAATAAAAACTCAAGTGTGAGCAACCGAGGAGCTCAAAATTAGATCTAACAGTAACCACTCATTGCATGGAAACAAGGCCATGCCTAATTCAACAATCAGGTTCCAAGTGGTTTATATTTTTCAAAGGGTTATTGCTTCCAAGTTCCAGGAAAAATTAGAGAATTTCTTGGGAATCCTATATCAAGGAATGGCCGCTGACGATGAGTTTTGAGAATCTCAGCAACAATGTAATTCACTCTTATTCTGCTAGTTCTCCAAGGAGGATAGTAGCATCATCCCTCTGCATTTCTTATCGAATGGAGGATTTGAAATCCCGGGATAAAGCTTTAAATGTAGAGCAAATATCATATAAATGAATCACTTGATGGATAAAATTTTAAATTCAGTTTAATTAGTTACTTTCTCTAAAATTGAACATAATGCAAAAACATGGAATACATGCATACCAGTATTTTCATTTCTTGCACCTGAATAATAATGCTTTCTCTGCCAGTTGAAAACTATCCTTATTATTTTGGGATTTCTCAAATGGATGGCCACTTGCCAAAATAAATTCACTCTTCCCAAACAACCATCGATCATTATTTCTTTGTTATAAGTATCCATTAACTTCTTGCCTGATGTACAGTGCAAGTAGGCCATTTATGACAGGAAGATTCTGGAAGCTTGTGCAAACAGTTCCCACTTTAAACTTGTTCACGGTGATTGGCCTGGGTGGGGTGAGGGGTGGTCAACTCAATTTGATACTGAGGAATAAACGTCAAGTCACTATTTAATTCATACATCTCAAGATTCATATTAAAATATGCAACTTCGATGTTGCAAGAACCATACTAGCTCTATGAGAAATCTTGTGTGTGCATTATAATTGTCCATTATTTTCCACGGTCCTGATGTAAAAAAACTGGTTCGCTACGTGAAATATTGAGCTGAAACATTGTGAATCAAATATAATAACTTCATAGATTCACTAACTTTTATGTACAGTAAAAAATAAATGAAAGCTCTATATTAGTACGTGCAAAGCCAACCTATAAGTAGTTGGTCACGAAAGGGAAAAAAATAAAAAAATAAATTGCGTTTACCTGTAACTTTGGCCTCAGAGCCTCAAGTGGTCCTTTCGGTTTCTCTACGCCTTGCTGCGATCATATAACAGTGATAAATTTTAGGTATAATTTATAAATAATATTATAAACTTACAGGATGCACAAAATGTACAAGTTTCAAATGAGTACTTTTCCCAGGGCCCAATCAGCAGAATCGAAATAGGCTCTTTCATGATCCTGACATCAAATTCAGAGGTTTGAGAAAGGATCCTTCAAGTTTTCTAAGCAGGCACTACTTAAACAAAAATATACAAGAAAGGAATGAGAATACCTTTGAAATTAGTGGTGGTTTCTTCGGCACTATTCCTCCATATTTCTTCTTAACAGCTTCCTCCTGTAAGAAAGAAAAAAAATGTTTACTTATGCAGTGGCACATGTGACTAGAAAATATAACCAAAGAAAAGAAAGGCTTTGAACACAACTTCCTGTTGAATTGATGGCATTGGCTTGCCAGAGTCCTCCATGAAATCTTCAGTTTGCGCATTGACTTCCCTGGTGCCTGACATTTTTCCTAGGACACCCTTATCAACAAAACTTGCCCGTAACCTTTAAATACACTATTCAATGAAGAGCGGAAAGAAATAACATCCCCGACTACTTCAGCAACATAAGAATTAACATGTAGACAAATTGTTTCAAATCCTTAACCAAAGTCGTCATTTCAACCTTTTATCAAGGACTATTCCATGACATCAAGGGACTATAATGCATTGACGTCAACACACGGTTTTTCAAAAAAGTATTGACACAATGCCGACACATTGATTAAATTCTTTAAAATTCTATATAAATTTAATTTTATACTTGTCATTAAGTTTTCTTGTTGAAATCTTTTAAATATGAGCAACTATTTATCATTTAATAATAATGATGAGTTAAAAATATATAATATTTTTTATAAAAAAGAACAATGACAATGGTAGAGTCTCCGATGAGCGTTGATTTCCAACACATGTCAGACACTCTAGATGAAGTGTTTGTGCAACACAGTCACAAAATTACTTTCTTTCCAAATCTTCAATTTATCAAACAAGCGTCCTGTCTTGCATCAATTTATATATCCTCTAAAGGCCACTGTAACTGATGAAAAACAACAATGAACTTTCTCCTACGCAAAGGCAAATTGCTTAATAGTAAGAACCTGAACTTATCTCTATACCCATAAACATTTTCATTGATTTATGAAGCTGTACATTTTAATAAATTCTAGTCTACACAAGATTTTCCAGCAATGAATAAAATGGGGATCAACCATAAAGAATAAATAAGATAATTTGCGGACAAACCGAATTAATTGGAGAAGAATATAAGAATTAAGTCCAATGGCATTAATTAGAGCATTATACGCATTCCTGAAATAACCAATAATAAAAAAAATTGTACGCAGAATTAAACCACATTGGAAAACCCAACTTTAAAATTTCAACTACAACATCCAACAACTAGTGTATTGTTATGGATCATGGGAGAACCATACCCCATGAGCTAGCTATGGAGATTGGAGAGCTCAACTCCATAAGAGCTAGCTATGGAGGTTGGAGAGGTCAACTCCATATAAACCCCACATTTATTTGTAATGTAACAGTACCATGACATGGATAAGACCAATTCATAAATTTAAATATTTCTGTCATTTCACTAAATTCTATTATTCTTGATGAGCCAGATCCTAAAATATCAAAATAAAACTACAACAACAATCTGAAAGCCGTTTAAAAGAATCCAGATTGTTGACGCAACTTGAAGAATATGTTATTTGCCCTCTCCGCCTCTCCTTCGATCCCAACAGATTTAAACAAACAAATAATAGGAAGTTTAATCTCGTAAAAACAACATATATACATACAAACATGCAGAAACACCATTAATCTAATCGGTGAGCAGATAAGGATTTCAGAATTGTAACAGATAAAATACAAATCGAATTAAAAAAAAGCATAGGGATAGATGAAATTAACTGTGCTGAAGAATTAAACTCTGCGTTTATTGTAGATCCACTGTGTGTTGTGCGTGCGTTCATATGCGAGAGACAGATTTGTTGAACAGTAGTGGGCGGAAGACGAGTTACTTGTCCCAATACAATGGGCACCGAACTTATGTCCATGGCAGCGACGTTGAGATTTATCTTTAAAATTATTAAAACGTTAAACGTTACTCATTGTCTCAACATTCATTCCAATTTTTTAATGAAATTAGTGGTGTGGCTCATGAAGCTGTTAACAAATTGTTATGTTTTTCATTGGTCACCAAATTTTGAAAAATATTTTCACCTGCTCAATAAATTTTGAGAAATGTCTTTTATTACTCACTAAATTTGAGAAATGTCTTTTATTATTCACTAAAAGTTGAAAAAGCCTTCGATTACTCACTAAACTTTAAGATAATCGAATTTGGATAACTAAACTTAACAAAATGACTTCGACCCATTGTTTGTTAAAATCACTTGCAGCTATCCCGAATTCAGCCTCGCCCATATGGAAGAGATTGAAGAGATTTGGACAATTGTGGAACCACACATTGCGTGGCAACTTGGGGCAGGTCAAATTTTCATTTGGCATGATTGTTGAATGGGAGATAGTTCTTTAGCATCTATCCTCCCACACAGGCAACACACATCTGAGAGGGTGTAGGATTTTTTCGAGGAGATTGGATGGAACTTTGGACGATTAATACAAGCTCTTTCACCAGTTTTGGCAGAGCGGATTACGGACATGCCATTATGTATTGACGTCCCAAATCGTATTTTTTGGAGGGCTATATCAGATGGTAGATTTACCACTAAGTCAGCATGGCAGTTGATCCGTTTTAACAAACCATAACATGATTCATTTCGTCTCCTTTGGAACCCTACAATACCTACCAAAATCTCATTCTTCTGTTGGAAATTATGGCAAGATTTGATTCCAGTAGATACTATTATTCAGAGGAGTGTTGGCACTCAGTTGGCTTCTCGGTGTCGGTGTTGTTTTGAGATTGAGATAATTACCCATATTTTTACTGGTAGCAGTATGTCAGATCAGGTCTGGCAGCACTTTGGGCTCTTATTTCAGATTACTATGATTGCAGGCGAGAGTGTCGGACAAAGATTTTTGCGATGTCGTTATTCTGGATAGCTTACTTGGAGTGGGCACATTCACATTATAATTCCTCTACTAATTTTCTGGTTTCTATTGATCGAGAGAAATGATGCAAAGCATAGGGGTACTCGTATGAGATCAAATCATTTGGAAGGTATATTGTATGGTCTCATTCCTTTACAATGGAGGATTATTTCGACCACTATATTGGCGTAATGACATGCAGCTTGCTCCTCTCTTTAAGATTACTATGACCCTCCCTTCATCTTCTTCCCCCATTATAGTTTGGCGGCACACTCCATTAGTCAAATCTGTCAAGATCAATACTGATGAATGTGTCAAGGATGACTTTGCGAGCGAGGGAGGCATCATCAGGGACCACACAGGAAAATGCATAAGGGCATTTTCAACATCATATGGATGGTGTAAGATATTAGAAACAGAGCTTAGGCTATTCTTGATGGGATACTACTGGCTAGAGGTCTTGAATTTTTAGATATTTGGGTTGAGACAGATTCTAGTGCAGCCATTCATTGCATCATCAAAGGTGGAGAACCATGAGCTATTCAAGACATACTCAGAAAGATTGCAGACATGATCTCCTTCGATAGAGACAGAGTTACCCATATCTATATAAAGGAAAACCAGGTTTCCGACACTCTTGACGCAGCAAGTTGGGATCACTGGTGATATCAAACGTATGAATCAGCTGACCTACCATGTCATATTCGAGCATTTACGCAAAATGATAGACATAGACTGTCCAACTTCAGAATATGAATTGTAAATCTATTTTAATTTTTAGTTTTAGTTGTTTTTGCTTTTTGTCATTAATTGCATCAAATCTTATTGTACTGGAAGTAATACTTCCTATTTTACTGCTTAACACATTTTCTTAAGCATTTTCAATTAATGTAAGGGAAGTAGTCTTCCTAATTTACTGCTTTCATTTTTCCACATGTAACCACGGTATTCCTCCACCATAAGTGATGACAAATTAATAAAATCTCAGAGGTACCGCCCTCCTTTAAGTAAAAAAGAAAAAAATGAACAAATGAGTCCATGTTATCGATTCTATGAGAAATGATTACTTAATTACACAATAGTTAAATTTAATTTTAACATTTTTTTGTTAGAATTTTGAGCTACTTTCTTCATTTGAGAAAATCAAATTTAACACACAATTCATTAAATTTTGGATTTTCATAATGAAACATAATCCATTTTTCGGAGGGACCAAAAGTGAATGAAATTTAATAAATTAAATTTATTGTGTTTCGTTGCAAAATTGAAATATTAATTTAATTTGAATAAAGAAACACACAATAAATTTGAATTTTTTCAAATGATGAAAAAAGTTTTTTAGTTCTACAAAATATATTAAAATTAAATTTAATTATTGTGTAATTGAGTAATCATTTGTCACGAAATCAACAACTCAAATATGTTTGTCCACTTTTATTACTTTTACATGGTTTGTGCGATTGCATTGCATATTTTTTTAACAAACAACAGGTTTGAAGTCATTTTTATAAGTTTAGTGGCCAAAATTTGACCACCTCCAAGTTCAATGAGCAATCAAAGACGTTTTTTCAAAGTTAGTGAGAAATCAAAGACGTTTTTCACAGTTTAGTGAGCAATTGAAGACATTTTTCAAAGTTCGATGAGTAACTAAAAACATAACAATTTGTTATTGGTGTGAAGTGGCAGTGTATTTTCCGTTAGCCACGTCATTAATTCTGTTAAAAAATTGGAACGAATGTTAAGGAAGTGAGTAACGTCTAATATTTTGATATATTTAGTGGTCAAAATTCGATATCTTAAATTTCAGCATGCAGTTGAAGACATAGACATAAGTTCATTGATGATTGGGACAATTAACTGTCGAAAAATGTTAGCTAATAAAATGGAAGAAAATAGAGACAGTTGCATTAATAGTCCCCAACTATGGATGTTGAGACGATATCATCCTCATTTAATATTTTTGGTACAACTCTAACGCTTAGTTGTCCATACCCGAGGTGTAACTAAAGCGATCAACTTTTGAAGGATAAAAAAGGTACTCTTCAGAATTCAGAGAGAGAGAGAGAGAGAGTCATCTAAAAATCATGTACATTTCATCAACACGGTGGATATGGTTATAGATTCAAAGTTAGTGGTGTCAAATCAGGTGGCCCTGACATGGCCTATTTGGTAAAAGTAAATCGTGAATCGGATAGTAATTCACGTGGACCAGTTTAGGAGCCAATAAAATGTAGAAATCTATTCGAATTGATTAAAATGAATGACTGTTACAAATTGCACAACCGTTGTCATAGCATGAGATAGGCCAAAGTTATCATACAACTTAAAGAAGGCCGATCTGCATTCTTTACCTTAAAATTAATTTTAAGACTAAAAAGGTTTAAAATGAAGTGTTTAAAAATAATTTTCAATAGATGTAATAATTGAAATTATTTTAACTAGTTAGTTCATTTGAACATTGAGGAAAAATGTTGAGAAAAAATTATTTCAAATCGCAGGTCGATCCTCAACCTAAGCATAATTTTTCAAATTGATAAAGACATGACCCTCTGAACAATATGAAATCTGTTTCGTAGTAAGATTGATCGTACTGATTTGTCATTTGACACCACTATTCAGAATCAAATTGAAGAGGCTTGACTTGTTGTCTTGTTACACAAATGAAGGGACACGTTTGAGTGCATGTTTGGCAAAGTTTCTCTAATATAAATTATTAACATCCACAACTTACAAGTAATTACAAAAGATCAAACTAAACATAAATCTCTCAAATTAGGAAATTTGTTAGGTTTTAGGCTCAGGAAAAAACCCAATCCCTGCCCAGCCCGCCAGCCCAAACCCAATCCCAAATAAGCAAAACCCAAAAACTGAATAATCCATCAATCCTCTCCGACATCTCACTTCTCTTCACACAATCTATTCATCCAGTTAACACCAAAACCAGCCTTTTCCACGTCATCATCGGCACGACTCGGCGCCTACGATAGCTCCACTACCATCCGTGTTCCCCGCCTGAGAAGTGAGTTATGAGTAGCGACTATTTCCTCGTTTTATTTTGTTGCCAAAAGTCATGTTGTATACTGTTATCAGTATTGTTTTTCACAACAATATTCCTCTCTATGTAATAGAGATTGTGTATTTTTATTTATGGCAAAAAACTCTAACCCTTTTGACAGAATATGGAACCTATTAATCAGTGGAATTATAGATTTAAATTACATTTGCGGTATTATCCTCTTATACTAATTTGAACTGAGAGTTTCCCATTTAACAATGATCAGGAAATGTAAATCGTGGCTCTTATTGTTAGGAAATATGGGACTAGAAGGGACTTTGGGTGTGTAATAGGTGGAGCCATGGAGGGCTATTAGTTTGGACCAAAATAGGTGAATTTGGAGATGCTTTGACGTGCTTGGAACCGGGCTATTAAGTTTTGTTATCCACTACTCTGTTTTCTTTGGTCTGGTATTGCAATTGTGCAACTTAAGCTCCCGTTTGGTCCCCATTTTTTGGTAATGAAAATGGGTGGAATAGTATTTTTTTGAAAGATGAGTGGTTGAAAAAAAAAATTCGATTTACGTGTAAATTATTTTATGGAAGATTGTGTAATTAAAAATAGAAGAGAAAAAATGGAATAAAAATTAATGGGGGCCAAACGGGGGCTAAATTGTTTAAAAATTAAATCACACCATGTGTTGTTAAGTTCATATCAGCTTTTCCGTGCTTGGTTGCATTTTTTATTTTTTGTTTGGGTGGGGTGGGGTGGGTTGGGTTGGGGGGAGGGGTTTAAATGCTTTGAACCATTTGATCAGCAATATATATTTCCGCCAAGTCTATAAAAATAAGATAGAAGAAATTTCTACTCATATTATTAACTATGAAACAATGCTGATCAAAAAAAGTCTTTTCCACAACTTTGTGATGAAAATTGATGGTGGGGTTCTTGTCAACTACACAATTGACGTGAAACGTTTAAGACTAATATAGGTAGGAGGTATTCATTTCATCTCACTCATCGTCTTTTGAGAATGGATTGTAGCCTTCTAGGCATATGGGATCGACTTAAAATAACTAAGCAACTTGGATGTTTCTACTTTCTACATTTAAACAAATCAGCTCACAAGATGTTCATAACAGGGCTTGCAGAGTTATCAACTGTTCCCACTCTCTAATGAAGAGCAAATGCGAGCAAATTTATATGCATTTGCTCTAAAAGAAAGGTTGCAAAACATGCTTAGGATGCAGCTCCCCCGCCCTGTCCATATTTGCTGGCTTCCATGCCTGTGTAAAATAGTATTTCTCGTTTCTTTAAGATTACAAGTGGAAGATTTTCCTAAAGGTTCAAGCTTCTTATGTTCACATTTTTGCATTTGTTGAGTGGTTTATTTTTGTAGTTCTTTTCATTGTTTATTTATTTGGAATTTAGAGAGAGCTTTAGCTAATTGGTTTTCAAATTTGCTTTTATGGTGTCTTCATTTTCTCCCTTAGTTTGAATTCCACTACTTGAATTGTGTTGAGCTCATCCTTTTTGTTTGAAGAATTTCTTTAACTCATCTATTGACCATTTTCATTTAGTTGATACGATAGTACATACTCTTAGAATCACTTTAATTTGATAGGTGACAATTGACAGTTAATTTAAGTGTCTTAACAACTTTTCTCGATAGATTGTATCGTGAAGTGTTATAATCATTTATAGGTATTCCAGTGTTGGCAATATTTCAAAATTTTTTTCCTTTATTTATTTATTTATTTTTGTATATTTGTTATTTGTTGGTGTCAATTTTCATTTTTGTTTCATGCTTATACTTTGTAGAATTGTATTGAACAAACTTCATGATGCAGGACGAATTAAAAAAATAGAAAGAAGAAGCAAGAAAGAGGGGAGAACCGTAGAGAATGGGGGGAGAAACCGGAGAAGAAGCAGAAATTCATGGGGGAGGGGGGAAGGGAGAAGAAGGAGAAGCCATAGGCAACAAACCACTAAAATATTCTTCAATTCATCAAAATTAATGAAATTACATCGCAATTAGGTTTAAATAGTAAAGACTAAAACTCTAAGTAGAACGGACTTGGGCCAACACAAGCCCAATTATATAAATAAAATCTAAAACATAAATAAAGTCCAACTAAAAATAAATAAAAAGTAGATGTCCTCATCAACTCTCCCGGAGTGGGAGAAAAACTTGACCCTGTCGAGTTGATAGCTAGTATAGGCTGCAGTCAATCTGATACTTCAAATGCGTCAAGTCAAGCTACGGGGGACGATCTTTTTGACGAACCAAGTAATGAAATTCCATGATTGATAGTGTTGGAAATTGTAGCTTATTCCTAGTAATATGATATGACCAAGGGGGGCGATTTTTCCTTCTAACCAAGTACTGATACTGGACTCCAAATAACCAATACTCATGCACCTTATCTTCAAGATTTTCACATGATTGTATATAATGAGGAGCATAAGAAGCACGTCGATCTACCCAACAAATAAGGAAGTATTGAATCTTGCCATCATTGGTCAATACAACACGTTTATCTAAAATAACATCAATTTTATCTTTGTGTGCTGTGATAGATGGTATTGAAGTAGAAATATCAATATAGTCAAGTTGGGGGTCCATAAAGCTAAGTAGAAATAGATCATCAAAGGAAGTAAAACGGTGTTTGTAAGTAATGAAGTCCTCAATATTTAAACCAGAATGGTAGCCAAAATGTGATGAAAGGGCAATGACATGTACATTTGAACCAACATGCTTTAACATTTTTAAAGGACCAGTACTACAAGCTTGCAATATAACATAATCCCCAATATTAAATTCAAAATATCGTTTATGCGAATCAGCTTGAAGTTTATATAATGCATTACTTGCGTCAAGGTGTTTATTGATCTCAATATGCAAGTCATGAAGATGACGTACAAATGCCTCAGCTGACATAGACATACTAGTATGTGAAGACATTGGAATAAGGTCTAAAGGTTTCCTAGACTTATAACCATGAATAATTTCGATGGAACTCGTACTTATAAATCGATGCACAAAATTGTTATATGCAATTTGAATTGTTGGGAGGATCAAATCCCAATTCTCAAGATTTCCTTGAAAAGGACATGATTACACAAATCATCCGTACCTTTGGGTTGGCAAAGAGTATGACACACAATATTTAACTGAGGAGTATCGGGAACAAGGGGTACAACCCCTTATTCAAGTCATCACATTCGTCAAATTTAGGTTCATAAATTTGATCTTTTAACGACTCTTCTATTACATCCTTTCGTTCTTCTATGACTAAGGCTCAGTTAGGACATTTGGAAGAGATATGGCCAAAGTCCTTACAGCTAATGCATAGCAGGCGAGAAGAAGTCCTTGGAATTTCAAGAATTTTACCCCTATTTTCCAAGATTTGAAGAACATTAGACGAGGGAGGTCCTAGAAGAGACTTAATGGGAGGAATTGGAGCCAATGAAATAGACAAATGGTTGTCAATACGCCTTCTATAAGGAGAATGGGGCCTTGGACTATCACGACCTTTACACTTATTTTTTTAAATAGGAAGAACACTAGACGGGCAAGGCTCTATGACAGACTCATATTGAGGTGGCGCTAATGACATGGGAGAACGATGGTGGTCACGCTTTTCATATGAAGTACTAATAAGTAACTCGTAGTCTCGAGTTGAAGAGTAAGCGTGATCAAAGTAGTGACGCCTCGAAAGAAAAGCTCACGCCTAAGTTCATCTCTTAGACCTTGTATAAACCTACTCAAAGTCAGGGCCTCATCCTCAACGACATGACATTTCATTCGAAATTCCTCAAATTGACTAGTCGATTCCCTTGTGTAAGGGTGTTCCATTGGGTAAAAATTTCATAATCTAAGCAACTATCGAAAGTAGGAGTATCTAAGTCAATGTCTCTAAAGAAACGCTCCTTACGATGAGGAAGAGAATGAGTACCATGATGACTATGGCCCTGTTCTTGCTTTCAAACCTGATCTCTATTCCTATGATCGAGTCGAAAATATTTTTGATCCCTTTGTCCACGATAATATTGTCTATTATGAGACGCTTCAGAATTAGTGTCAGTCAAACGAGGGGTTCGCTTAAAATTGCTCAACTTAGCAGCTAGGTTCTTTCTCTCCTCACGAGTAGCAGTTATATCTGATTGGACAATCGATAGGCTAGTGGTAAGTTGCGCTAATTGTCTAGTAAGTGCATCAAATTGGGATGGATCCATGATCAATGTATTGAAAATAGAGACAACAAAACGGCCACTACGTAACTACATGCAATGTAATACTAGTTAAATGACGTGAAATGATGAGATCAATGAATAATAAATGCAAGCAGTGAAAAATAACAAATTAAGCATTTTTTTCAGGGATAAGTAAATTCAAATATGGCAAGGTAATACTGCTGATCTATGTAAAATAATAAAGCACAAATCAAATACTAGTCAAAACCTAATCATGTAATATAAGTGAGGTAAAATAGGGTTTTGACGAAATCAACGGATTCAGTCATGTGACTTTAGGTATATTGTTAGAATAACAACATCACAAAAATTTAATCAATGCAATTTTAAATGAAGCAGTATTATAAACGCAAATAGAGACAACCATAAAACTTATTCCAGAGGTTGAAATTCTCCTAAAGGCCATATAAGATGGAAGATTAGACGGGTATTTTAGATTTACGGTTGTGCTATAGGTATATCATAACATACAGATTTGTTTACCAATATATGATGTGGCAAGATTTGATTGGGTCAAAATCTCATCAGCCAAATAAAAAAAAAGCAAAAACTCCTCACTTTCTTTTTGATACCTCAGCAATATGTAAAAGATTGTGTAAATGATGATATACAACAGGTATTTTCCTTAGATCTTGATGCAGGACGAATTAAAAAATAGAAAGAAGAAGCAAGAAAGAGAGGAGAACCGAAGAGAATGGAGGGAGAAACCAGAGAAGAAGTAGAAATTCATGGGAAAGAGGAAGAGGGAGAGGAAGGAGAAACTACAGGCAACAAACCACCAAAATATTCTTCAATTCATAAAAACTATTGAAATTACATCGCAATTAGGTTTAAATAGTAAAGACTAAAACTCTAAGTAGAATGGACTTGGGCCAACACAAGCCCAATTACATAAATAAAATCTAAAACATAAATAAAGTCCAACTAAAAATAAATAAAAAGTAGATGTCCTCATCACTTCAGATCTTGGTTTGAAGTTTATAATCAAGGAGAAAATTTGGAGTTGAGGTGGTAGTTATGCAAGTTGGTTAGGAAAGTACTTCAAGATTTCTTGCCTTTTACTTGTTTGATAACATGTCAACAACTTTTTATCTCAGGAGAGTTAAAATAGGCTGTGAAGTATAATTGACCATTGCAAATAGATAAGCAAGAATTCCAAAGGAGAGGAATTACAATTCTGAATTATGCAAGTTCAAAATGGACCAATTTATGGACATGAAGACAAAATGTAGCCTTATTTATCTTAAGAAACTGATAATTGGATCTGAGAGGGAAAAGCAGGAAAAGGAAAGCAAAGAGAAAAAATAGAGAGGGTAAAATCCTGTTAATCAATTTTAATTGCCAAAATTGTATAATTTGGTTGAATGTTGTGATATTTTTTGTCCTATGAATGTCTAAAAGACAGAGACTACTGCTATCTTAGACTCTCGCATTTAGTCATATCCGGTAAACGGGCCTTCAAGATTTGTAGAATGTCTTCTCTCATCGAAGTACCTTCTTAATTACTAATTAAGTATGAGATTAAGCCCTTGTTTGAGCCACATTATTAGAATAAAAATGCATTTTTAAATAGTGTATTAATGAGAAATGTGTGGTTAAGAAATAATGAAAAAAGTTTCGAATTTGCATGTAATATTATTTTATTGAGGAATGAGTAGCTGAAATGATGTCAAATTACTGTTGAAAAATGTATTTTTTTGAAAAAATGTGGCTCAAATAGAGCCTAAGTACAGCTTAGCATTATACACGCTTTAGAAACTTGAAACTCGGCATTAAACTCATGATTAGGTGACAAGTCTTTATGCCATTTTCACTTCTAGCCCGTTTCTCTAGTTTGGTACACGTGCTGGATTACGTTATCATTATTAATTTTTCTAAATTTTAGTGCACCCAAAAATCTACATCTCGCTCTTTTCTACGTTAGTTGAATTTAAAAAATCGGAATTAGAAAAAAATGTTAATTATAGGAGAGAGGGATAACTATGAGCGGTGTTTCTGGTTCCTATTCGGACTATAGAAAATTGAAAACTAATGTCTTAAAATTGGATCTGACTGGCTTGGTCGAACTATGAAAATTGAGCACCGGTCCAAAATGGTTAGCTTTTAACATTCTCAGGTCAATGCTGGGATTGGTTTTGAGAACCTCTACCCACTTAATTGTTGAAATTGTTGTTAGAATTGTGGGTTGAACCCCTTCCCTTTTCTTCTCTTTGTTCCCCTGCTCTACTAGGGTTTATTTAGGTACAGCTGATTATTGCATTAATAAATGTACAGTGATTTACAGCAACATGAATCTCTTTCTTTCTCTCTGTTTAGGTAGTTAGATCTTGGACAATGCAGAGAACGACGCAGTATGCGAGGTTGGCTCAGTCGTTGGTAACAGGGCGAGGGTTTTCCACTTCAACATCGAAGAGCAGCAATGATAAGATTGTAGCTTCAGTGGTGTTCGAGAGGCTCCCAGTTGTCATCCCTAAAGTTGATCCTGCCGTCTATGCTTTTCAAGAGTTCTCGTAAGCACTTTTTCGGTACATGCATTTTTCTTTAATTTTTTTTTTTCATTTAAATTACACAATGAAGTTTTAGGGAATGCTGAAAGTGAGTCAGCTTTTGTGTGGGACTGTGTTTGGAGCTAATTTCATTTTGGGATAAAGAGTTGAGGAAGCATGATGAAAGAAACTTATTTAGTGTGTCCTCATACTGGCTACTGGTTACACGCATAAAAAATATCAGAAGACTTGCGTGCTTTTTTCTATATATTTGGATTGTAGACATGAAACTATATTTCCTTAAATAAGAGCAGCAGGATGCATAAAATCTGGGGTTCAATGGCATCTGCCATCTCTTGTTGTTGTTGTTACTGTTGGTCTTGGTGAACTTATTATTTTAACTTGCCACTTCTTTTGGTGGTTGAAATGCACATTTAGGTTCCGATGGAGGCAGCAATATCGGCGGGAATACCCAGAAGCTTTCTTGAAAAAATCTGATACCAGGTAATAATTATTTCATTTCTTTTTTATTTTCATTAATTACTTCTGGTTTCCCAAAGAGGATGTGGTTACAAGTTCCATTAGCAGATTCCCTTTTGGAAATATTGTAATTCCCTCAGTTGTGGTTATTGAAGGAAGTCAATTTCTTTTAAGTTTTTCTGTATGATTTGTAGAGCAAGTAGATGATGTCATGGTATCTATGGTTATAGAAACTAAAGCTCTTTTTGAGTGTGTAATAAACTTTTTATCATTAACTTATATTGATTACTACTTCAGCTCTGAGAATATATTTGGTATATGGAACATATATTGCGGGTAAAATTTTATTCTAATTTTCAAAAGAAATTTTCTATATTTCTCTTTCTTAAAGTTTGATGTCTTCCATGTCCTTGAATGTTTGATGATGACGCCAAGTTCAGTCTCTCTTAAGATCATACATCTCAAGTGGGCAGATGTAGAAGCATCTCGTGATTCATTATTTGCATATCAATTCCCCCTTTTTTTTTTTTTTTTTTTTTTTTTTTGGGTGAATATGGCATAATACCACAGTCATGCGTGCAGGATTGTTTTTCTATTAAATATCCATCTTGTTGATTTTGATGTGTTCTTTAGTATGTAATAACCATATACATTTCCAGGGGAAAAGGTGATTATCAAATTGAGTTCGAACCAGCTCCACGGATCACTGAGGCAGATAAATCTAACAACCAAAGGTAAATATAATGTATTTTCTGTGATAAGAGATGTAATAAAGGTGAATGTTCACGCAACCTGGCTTTCTTGTCGTTGAGAGAAGTGGATGTCCTTAAATTTAGATGCTTTCCCTCTATTTGGGGATAACTCTTCTACGACTATTTTCTCTGCTACCTAGTCAGTAGTCACATAAAATACCGTTTCTAGCCATATGGATGCTTATCTCAGTTTTCATCCTTTGATATAAAAATATTACCTGATGCGAAAAAGAAGAAAAAAGAGAATATTTATGCCCTATTAATTGTTTACTTCCTATTGTAATCTATACTAAAAGCAGTCAATGTTCTCCTTGGGGATAAATAAAAATTGAGAGGTAATCCTCAAAGTACTAGTACTTTTGCTCCACCAGCTCTGCAAAAGTATGCATCAAAAAGAACAATTAGCATCGTCTCTCTTTAATCTGACTCAGTTCTCTCATGCAACTAAAGTAGTATTCCTACTGTGGGTTGTCAGGAATGTGCCTCTTCATTAGGCGGCATCACCCGCATTAGTGCATGTGTTGAATGAATATGGAAATATTTTCTTGTAGGTCATTACAAAGAGCCCTAGACCAAAGACTATATCTTCTCCTCTATGGCCCAACATTTGGTTCTCCTAGTGGCAAAAGTGTCTGGCATTTCCCAGAGAAAGTTTATGCATCCGAAAAGACTCTGCGCGAGGTGGTTCTTACTTTCTACTTTTTTCGAGTTCCCCAAGTTCGTTCTGTATTTCCAATTGAAATTTGTTGATTCTGAAGCATTAGAGTGAGGAAATTATTCCCATATATTTGCAGTGTGCAGAATCTGCATTAAAATCTGTGATTGGAGATCTTTCCCACACTTATTTTGTTGGAAATGCTCCAATGGGCCATATTGTTATACAGCCTGCGGAGGCTGAACAGGGCATTAATTCTTTCAAGGTAAGCATCTTAGCCTCCATTTCGCTAATTAATAAATATAAACCATTTATAAATGGTCAAACTTCATTTATAGCACCCATAATTATTATCCAGTCATTGACCACTCATTTATTATAAATTGAACTGCTTAAGATTCATCCCAAACGAAGGGTTTAAGGTTTGGGTTGGCTACATTGTATTGATGCCTGTATTGTTTTATTGGACAACTCTCACTGGAATGCCTACTAGAGGATTCCAAAGCCATAAGATCCTACTTTACGTATTTCGCTTTTGTGTACTTAGCTTTTTTGTTCAACATCTTAAAACTTTTGTCAGCGCTTCTTCTTCAAGTCTCAAGTGATCGCTACGAACAAGTTTAATATTAAAATGTGCGAAGATTTTGTCTGGGTGACAAAGGAAGAACTGTTGGAGCATTTCCCTGAGCAAGCCGAATTCCTAAACAAAATGATCATCAGCTGATATTTTATGTCTTTGTACTACTTAGACGCATGGAATAATTTTCTTGAAAATTTGTTGTTAATTCATTGGATTTGCCTGTGTTTCCCAAAGTACCTTCTTGTATCCCTGTGAGTGGAATGAATTTTGACTCTTTAAAAGTTGACTATGGGGTGGTTAAGCTGTGAGTGGCCGCATTTATTTTGCCCGGTCCTATTAGAGCATTTGATGAAAATAGTGAATTTTTGGCCTCTGCCATTTTTCCTGCTCCTTTTCATAAAACACGGTTTATTTTTGTTGCACCTACTATAATCGTGCTGTTGTGTTCTTGTGTTCATTTTCAATTGAAGACTTGAATATATTTATGCACGGCAGATACTACCATTGATATTTTTAAAGAAGTTTTGGTCATAGTTTATTTGTTGCAGCTGGTAATAGCCACGAGATAGTTTGATCTATTGATTGGCAGTATGTATATATATATATTTTAATTGCAAAGAGGTTAGAGGCATCTGTTTCCCTTCTCTCTCATTTCTTCTCAATTGACAAAGAGTCTGGTTAGTTAAGCTTAAATTTTGTTTGGATACATTATATTTTTCTTATTATAAGTTTTAAAGAAGTTACTTATTTTAATAGTAAAATGAACAGTGTACTAGGTACAAAAAAATTTTGTAGAAAACATACAAATGAACACTTGGGAGATTATCATTGGAAGATGAGAAATGCTATTTGGTCAGGGTCATTTGCACAGACTCTGGTCAAATTCTCTCTTATAGGAGGGGTCCCACCCCATTTTTTAATGCCAAAAATTGTCCCCCCTACAAAAGAGAATCTGATCAGGATTTGTGCAAATGACCCGCCAAATAGCATTTCTCTTGGAAGATAACAAAAATACAAAAGAAAAGCATCAACTTGTACAGATTCTGTTTGTTTTTTTCCCTATGCTTGCAGAAAAATTCTAGTAAAATAGGGTTACTTTTTGGCAACATCAATTTGACCAACAAAAAACGTTATTTATTTTTTCAACCTAGTGTACGTATAAATAAATCTTTTAAGATTTATGAGTAAATAGATGTCTATTCTTGAGATTTGCTTTACCCATATAATTGATGACATCATTTTGATTAGTAAACTTCATTGATTCACTTCGAGATTACAAATCGTTGGAATTGATTCACTTCGAGATTAGATTACAAATCGTTGGAATTGATTCATTTCAAGATTTATGAGTCATGAAAAGTTTCATATATTTTGGCACAATTCATCTAAGATTATCTAATTCACGTATGTTAATAATATTTCTCTCTAAAATTGGCCTATACAAAACATGGATAAGCCAAGTTGGCCTTACCATTCACATCCCACATTACACCTTTTAGTCCTAATTGCTTGCAAAAGAGAAAAAAAAACATGCATTTATTCTTGCGGATGCATATATATATATATATAGAGGAAGGGTTGCCCCCAGCACATGGTCTAGTAGTGCAAAGGGCAAGAGTGAGATTATCTCATGCTTTGCTGACAGCCACAGTGTGAGGATTCGATTCTTGAGACATGGAATTGGACTCCTTGTAGGCACAGTGTACAGGCAGCTCTTGTTCCCTGGCCTGTTGAGGGCACATCCCGGGTTTTATCTCCCTCACAAAACTCTAGAAACGGGGTGGTGGGACTTTCAAGGTTGGGGTTCAACCTTTATATATAGGAATGCTAAAAGTGGGCCAACCATCTTCCACTATAAAAGTGGGTTGTAAGACTTATTGCATTGTTCACTTTTAGTTGGAGTTTTCGAAAATATCGAATGGATTTACTTTCAGAAAGATCGTAGCTTTCGTGTTTTGATGGGTCTTTAAGATCCTTTTGATGACCAGAAAGCTCGACTAACCAGAAAAGTGTGTGGTCTAAGTAAAAAAGAACATAAATGTTGAGGGGATCAATCCTATATATATTTTTGTATATATAATTAAAAGTGCATTGTAAATAACGAGAGCTAAAGAGGGCATGCACGTTTTGATCGTCGTATTTTTTGTGGGGGCAGTTGAACTGAAATTAGTTGAATTTTAGTTGGGCTGAGTTTACTGCGCAGATAACAGATGGTACGCTTTTCCTCTTCAATCCTATGACCAAATCTCTCACTAGACACTATTCATGCCTTTCTCTCTGTCTCTCACACACAAACACAAATTGTGAGTGTTGGTGACCCTACCACACCATTTTAAAATTGTATAAATACATCCCAAAGACACTTATTTTCTTCCTCTACAGTATTTAGGAGGATCCCTCCAATATGGAAGAACATGAAGCTCCGCCACCACTACTGCCACCGCAGGCGAAGCCTACGAACCCAACTTATCTTTTTGCACCTATTCAACCGACCCTTCTCCCAAACACGAATTTGGAAGGCTTAATTTCCTGTAATTCTAATCAAAATCATATGTTGGAACGAAATACTGCTGAAACATCAGATAAAAGTATCACCAAATTTGCTGATGAAGAAAATATTGAGGATAAAAGAAGATGTGGAAGAGGCAGAAAGAGAAAATCCACCATTCCAAGATTTGCCTTTCAAACCAAGAGTGAAGAAGATATACTTGATGATGGCTATCGTTGGAGAAAATATGGCCAAAAGTCTGTCAAAAATAGCAAGTTTCCAAGGTGATTTCATTGATCTTTTCATCTTGCATGACTAACTTTTCTTATGTTACGTATAATATTCTAGCCTTCATGATACACATTTAACAATTTTCAATAGGATTTTTTTTTTAATTACCATTTCATTTTATGTAGAATTTTTCATCAAATAACTTACGTTAGAATATTGGATGGTCGAAATTCAAGGAAAGAGATTGTGAAGAGAAATATAGAATATATAGTTCAATAAAATGAAAAAGTGAATACATATCGTAGTTAAATTGTTATATGTTTTGAAGCAAATTATAAAGATATACTATAGAGTTATCCTTATTAGGTTATCTCTTATGGAGTTATCTTAATTTTTATTCAAAATTACAAAAAACATTTTTGATGCTTCTTTATCGCAATAGATTTTCACCGTGAGCTAAAAAACAAATACGAATTTACAATTTATTTGTCTCTAATTTCTTAAAATTTTCTTCTATATCTTTTATTTAGATGGGATTATGTATTGTTAAAAAACGTTTAAATGAAATTATGAAAATATAGTTGATTTCTTGATAAGCTTATATGTTTTCTTTTAGGATATGATTGTAGCAACTTGTTTGTTTAAAAATAATCAACAAATAAACACAAATACATAATAGTAAAAGCTCTAATAAATGAACAACTCAATAGTTCTAACAATTTATCATTTTGACAATTCAGTTAATTTGGAATCATACTAAGATAGTATCATGAAGCAAAATATTTCATTCTTCTTGAGTATGTGAAACATTCTGGTTGTTCGTTCTATCAAAAGTAGATGATAAAGTTGTTTAATTGCTATTTTTATATCACTTAATTTAGTGATATTTTCTTTAGATTTATTTTTATGTACTCATAAAATTCATACTATGTTATGTTCAGGAAATTAAAATAATATTATAGTCATACCTCGATGCAAGAAAATCGATGTTGAAAGACTTGTGTTCAAAGTTCAGATTTTTTCCCTTTTCTAGTTAAAAGCTTGCATCAACTTTCTTCTTCATTTTTTTTTTTTAAATATAAAAAGTTAGTATTTTTAACAAATATTATTGAGATGTTATAACCATTTTGTGTAAGAAAGAAAGAAGATAGAACTTTCATTAGATACGTTTTGGATTACAATTTCTTGTGATTCTTATGTTTTCATATTGAAACCAAAGGAGTTACTATCGATGCACACATCACACGTGTAGCGTGAAGAAACAAGTCCAAAGGCTAACCAAGGACAAGAGCATTGTTGTGACAACGTACGAGGGAATCCATAACCATCCATATGAGAAGCTGATGGAAACTCTGAATCCTCTTCTCAAACAAATACAGCTCCTCACCAATAGGCTCTAGTCGACATTCGTGTCAAGTACAATGCTCAAAATCTACCCGTGTAACATAAGTATTAAATAACGTAGTATGTAATCAACTTCACCTTATATGCTTTTGTAATATAGTTTCTAATGATATTTGTAATTAAAGTAGACAACAAAACAAAGCTTCATCGATCAAAGATTTAATGACCAATCAAAAGTGATTACTATAAGACACTATCACTCTCAAAAATTGGTCGGTAAATGTTTGGTCCGTTAAAATTGGACTAATTTTTTTATGCTGTTTTGTGAATAAAACTTGGCTGCTGAATGTTATAGATTTAGCGACAAGTGTGATTTGGTCGTTAACGACTTTGCCGATGGTGAATTAGCGACCAGTCAATAATCATAGTTTTTTGATCGTTAAAGATCTTTAAAGAAAAACCAAAAAAAAAAAAAACAAAAAACAAAAAACAAAACAAAACAAAAAAACCTTTACCGAGCATGCTTTTTGGTCATTGGAGACCTTTTTCCATTTATTTATTTTTTGTTTGAAGTGGTAGTTGAAAGTGAAAAGTAAAAGAAGGGTTGTTTGAGTATGTTGAAAAGGGGTGACCCATGGATTGACCCGATCGATGACATGAGTTGGTTTGATAGAAGAATTATTTTTTATTCACTAGTAAGTCTCCTCTCTCCTAATACATGCCCAAAACTTTTATACCCCATCCCATATATACGTTGAAAGGGAGTTATAGACTGCAAAACGTGCATTGAAATTGGTGCAAAAATAACCTAAAGTAGAGTAGGCTTGAAATCCTTGTTTTTTCATATATAATCTTCTCCAAATTAGGTTTCTAGGTTGTGGTGGATGAAAGTAGGAGTTAATTGTTTTAATGGTCACTGAACTTAGATTCATATTTTTGATTGGACACCGAACTTTAAAATATTGAGTTTTGGTCACTGAATTTTGAAAAATGTCGAGTTTTGCTCACTGAACTTATGTCCATGTCTTAGATTACTCAATAAAATTTAAAATATCGAATTACTTACTAGTATAACTATTGAACTTTGAAAAATATCTAGTTTATAGTGAATAATATACAACATTTTTCAAAATTCAATTAGTAATGTACAATAATTTTTTCAAAGTTATGCAAATAATGTACAACATTTTTCAAAATTTAGAGACCAAAAGTCGACATTTTAAATTTCAGTGAGCAATCGAAGATGTGGATCTAAGTTCAGTGGCCAAAACTCGACATTTTAAAGTTCAGTGGCCAATCAAAGACATGAACATAAGTTCAGTGACCAAAACTCGACATTTTAAAGTTTAATGACCAATCAAAGAAATGAACATAAGTTCAGTGACCATCGGAACAATTAACTCATGAAAGTAGTCCAATTATGATAGAGTTTTGACGATAATTTGCACATACTTTTTAATTACACATTCATCAAGATTCCACTAATAATCAATTATAAATTTTGACAAACATGGAAAAATTATCAAGCTTGGTGAGGAAATAGTGAAGAGCATTGCCGGAGGGAATGAGACAGTTGTTACAACGGCCATGTTGGGGAGTTTTAATTTGCCATTTTTCTCGTTCGTACTAGTCTTCTTTTCTCAATGGAGACGAGAAGACTTACCTTCAACAAATTTATTTATTTTTATTTAATTTTAATTTTAATGATACAAGAACAAATGCCAATTAATTAGAAAGTGGGAAATGAAGGTCTCAAGATCAAACTCCAGGAGACACAATCATGGTCAATGATAAGAAGCTTTACATGTTTATTTACATTCTCACTTCTCAATCAATTACGAGAATTTTTACTTACTTTATGTTATATTCGATTTTTGTAAACTAAATTTCAAATTTAAAGGTGAACAAAGCAAAATAAAGTTATTTGAAACATTAAGCCCCTGTTTGGCTTCGATTATTTTAAATTTTAATGGGTATAATAGTATATATATATATATTTTTTTTAAAATGGATGGTTGAAAAGAATGAAAAATTTTCGATTTACATGTAATATCATTTAATGAAAGATCGTGTGGTTGAAGTAGGATAGAGAAAAATAAAATTTAATTTAATGAGGGCCGGGGGAGAGGAGGGGGGTTAATTGGACAAAAGGATGTATTGGTGAAGGCCAAAAAGTATTGGGGCTCGACTGGATTGAACTAAATGTCAATTGGAAGATTTTATAACTTTTGGGAACTAGAATGGAAGCATTGAAAAGTTGTAGGACCAAAATTAAAGGGACCAAAAGTTTGAGGACTAACATGGAAGAAGAAATAAAGTTGGAGGAACAAAAGTGATGAAATTGGATGATGGAGCGATAAACCGTCGAAACTAAAAGTTCAGGGACCACATCTTAAAGATCAATTATGAGAAAAAAGGAATCTTCTAGGAAGAAACTTGTTACATTATTGTTCCCATGGACTTCTATCAACCACAAAAAGATCACATTGCATGCCCATGTACCTTCAAATATTCGTATATCATTCGGCAAAGAAATACCATTTAGCAACGAAATACACCGTATCATAATATTTGGCTAGAAACACTATTAAATGCCTCGACCAACGAAAGGTTCAAAGCCTTGGCCTAAGCCTCGGATATGGACCAAAAAAAATAGTACGGATTCTAAACAATCAAAATAGACTTCGTTTGCTATATAAGAATGTCCTACGGGAACATCAATTTTTATTGGAGTATTTCATGCTAGATAACTTTGTCGCTTTCTTTGAGTCAAGAAAATATTAGATAATTGATTTACGACACTTTTTAAGTGAATAATTTTTCCAACGTTTTGATCACATTGATTGTAGGAATGAAAGTGAGATAGAGTTACTTCGTTCCAAGAAATTTTACTTTACTTTTCAAGATGTAGTTTTGTCCATCCCAAAGTTGAAAAAGTAAGTAAATCAAAATGACAATATGTAAAATGTACAGTAAATAAATAATTGGTTAAGTGCTCAAAATACATAATGATGGATGGTGAATCAAAACTTCTTTGTTGGGATATGGCGAGTTCATAGGATTGGAGGGATCCTACATCTAAGTCCTTGCTCTCTTCAATAGCTATGATCTTAGGTCTAAATCTCTCAAGTAAGGATCTAATAACTTTTCAATCAACCTTAGTCTCAGAAATTTTCTTACCTAGGTTGAAGCTAGAGTTCACTATTGCCATTTAACTTTGCATAGAAATTAATGAACGATTCATCATCCTTCATTCTTCAAATCAAGTGGTTAGCATCTACATTTTGAAGTTCTTAAGTTTTAATTCCTTCATGTGTGGTCTCTAAAATATTCCAAATTTCTTTCGCGATCTTACACATCGGTACTCTTCTAAACTCTTCGACGGACAAAGTCATAAATAGAGCATGAAGTCCTTTACTATTCCAATTACACTTAGTTCATTTTTAGTGTAAAGGAAAATGTCTACACAGGTAACTACACCTAAAATAGTAATAGGGGGGGATGGTCCAACCATTTTGTACACTAACCTAAATCCGCTCATCCATATACTTAAGAAATACTCTCATTCGAAAATTCCAATATGTATAATTGTTTCCGTTAAAAAATGGAGGCATGGAAAGAAACTGACTCATCTAGATTAAATTAGGGTCAGGAGTCGAATTGAGGCTTTGAATAACACTTGAAAGTTCTAAGTTATTTATCAATTTATTGTTCTTTAGACCTATCATACAGAATTATACAATTAAAAGCAACAAGTCAATTTTAATTGTTTCTAGATGATTAGATCAAATAAGTTAATTTATCCTATGTTTGAATACCATGGTTTGTAAATTGCATAAAGTAAATAATACCAATATGATCACGTAGAAAACCCGTCACAAAAGATCAAAACTCCGATCATTTTGCTCGTCAACAATCCACAATAAACGATAAGACTCACAGTATGTCTAGACTTGACTAACCCTTAGTCCCTTAGTCCTCTATGACCTTCTTTCTATAATCACCTTGGCTCTTTTGGACTATATTCTCCTCATACCAGCTTCGACTCCTGGTATCGTTTATCCCTTGTGGACCTCTAAAAACGAACCTTGTTTTTTAGCACTAGAACTCCAAACGTCTCTTCACTAAATTTAAGCAAACATAAAGGCTAAGTGGCGAAGCAAGGTTTGGTATTTGATCAACGATCTCGTGGGTTTTGATCTATGATTTGATGTGAAAGTTTATAGCTTGATCAATGGTTAATAACCCGAATGGTCACTGAATTTTGCAAAAAAAATTCATGGAATTACTGAACTTTAAAAATTACCTAAGCCATCATTGAACTTTACAAAAAATTTATATGAGATCACTGAACTTTAAAAAATCACTCCATTTATTACAAAACTTTGCAAAAAGATTTTCACGGGATCACTGAATTTTGCAAAAGGTTTTCCAAGAATCATTGAAAGTTTAGTATTGAATGGGATGATTTTTAAAGTTCAGTGACTCCGTGAAAATCTTTTGCAAAATTTAATGACCCCGTGAAATTTTTTTGCAAAGTTCAATGACGACTTTGGTAATTATTAAAGTTCAGTGATTTCGTGAAAACCTTTTGTAAAGTTCAGCGACCATTTGAGTTATTAACTCGTTCGATCAACAAATCTAAGTTCTGATGAATTTATGAATGAAATAATATGATAGTTGAATCTTGAAATCAATGAAAGTGTTTTCAATTTTCAAATGAATGATCTCTATAGAACTTTTGGATGGTTATAGAGTAAGATATATATAGAGGAAATTGTTTGGGATAAAAAAGGATTCAAAATCAAGTTTTTGAAGCAAAACAGGATTGTTGGACGTCGAGTCAATATTTTCATCATAACTTTCTCTCCCGTTATCAGATTAAGGTAATCAAAGTGTGTTGAAAAGATAACTAAAAGGGCTACAATTCTTCTACAATTAGTTGGAAAACCCTCAAATTTTTATTAATAAACAATCAAGTTACAAACAGGAATGATTCTAACTTTTAAATGAAAATAAAAGGATATAACTTTCTGTTAAAAAAACTAAACTCTGAAAAAATTATCTAAAAAAGAAAATGTTCTTAATAAATAAATAAATTTAAAAATTCGAACTTGATAGCTTAACAATAGAATCAGTTGGTAGTGAGAGTTTAGCTCAAGGTGTTGACGTTCACATGGTCAA